CGGAGGTGGCATGCAAGGATTCTGGGATGACAATATTGTTTTTTGTCCTGATAGGGCTTTGTGTTACACAGTTATATATATTTATCAAGTCTCATCGAAGGTGCATTTGAGCATTTATTGTATATTAACTTTATCTCAAAAGAAAGTAAAAGAACTTTAAAACACAGATTGAACTTTAGTTAATGATATACATGTTGAAATGTGGGGGGGGTAAGTACTGATTTTGCAAATTACTTTGAAATGTGTCAAAAGGTGATTGATGGAAAGTGTGCCTGAACCTACTGTTCATAAAATTTTCGACCTTGAAGACATTGAGGCGACAGGTTGAAGAAAGTGAGGAAAATCTTAAAGGAGATTTCCAAATAGTGTTGAAAGTGCCACCTGGTTTCTTTTTGGGGCTTATAGTAAAATGCAAAAGGAGACAGTTAAATGGAGAGAAGGATTATTAAAAATGAAGTCAAGGGTGTGACTGCAAGACTATTTGGTTAAGACCTCAGAAAGAACAAAGATGGTGCCTCAGAATACTATTCAGTCACTTAGGAGCTCTTTCAGGAAATTAGGCTTATGCCTCACAGATTTTCTCAAACAGTATGCCTGTAGAAAGCTTAGGGGTGTTGTCCCTCAGTTGTCTCAGCAGGGGCCCAAGGTTGAGAAGTGTTTATCAGAAAAGATCTGTGGGTGTGACTTCTGCCTTATCAAGTAAATCCCCAAATGAATCACAGGTGACCCACACAGCTTTTAAAAGAGTTATATATGCAAAAACACCACTAGTTTGGGCTGAGAGAGTCAGAGAACATGAAGTGTGACATTTGGACCCTCAGAATTCTGTCAAGAAGCAAGCTGAATGAGCTGCTCAGTTGCAAACACATGCTACTTTTCATGGGGGGGGGGAACAAACAGAAGAAAGATGATGTAGAGGAGAGAACAAAGTACCTAAGAGCCAAGAACCATGGAGAATTATTCCTAGGCCTTGAGACTTAATAAGAAACTCCTAACATTTACTGACTTGCTTCTAATAGAATATGGCAGAAGTGAAGAGATGTCAACTCTGAGAATAGCTTATAAAAAGATGTGGTTTCTGTCTTGGGTATGCTCGCTCATTCCCTCTTGGATCACTCAGCCTGGGGAAAGCCAGCTGCAGTGTTGGGAGGCAACCCTGTAGAGAGGCTAACACAGTGAGGGACTGAGCCCTGCCAACAACCACACAAGTGAGCTTCGAGGTGGACTCCCCCGTGTCGAGCTCCCCACCCCTAACCCCACAGCTTGGCTGGAGCCTGATGAGAGATGCAGAGCCAGGCGAACTGAGCTAAGCCATGCCTGTGAGATAACACAGACTGAAATACTCATTTTTTTATTTGTTTGTTTTAAGCCACTAATTTTGGGCAATTTGTTATGCAACAATAGATTAATACAAATTGTAGGACTGAGAAACTATCATGGAAAAGAAGAAGGTGAATCAGACAGTGGAAGAAATATTGTTTTCTTTCAACAATAGTCAAGAATAATCTTGGTGATAAAGAGAGGAAGGAATATGAAATAGTCAATGCTTAAATAAAGAAATAGTAGGTAAATACAATAGTAGAGAAAATAGAGTAAGGAGGAGAAGGGATAAGCACTCTTGCTGAAGATTCCTTTGTGATCCAAGGAGATAAACAAAAGACTAGCTGGAGAGAAAAGGAGTCCAGTGTGGTCTCTGAGGAGGAGAGGATGGGTCATGGAACCACTGAGAGGCTACTGACATCATGGAGGCATCAATGAAAAGTCACAAATCCTTCGTAAGCGTTTATATTCTGGGAACCATAATTACAAAGTCACTAGGACGGGCTCTGAAATGACTGATGTTGAGGAGGGAAGAGGGTGATGCAATCTCTAGGAGTAGGGGAATTCATCATTTATTTTGGAAGGAGTAACTGGGAAGGAAAAAGAACTGTTGGCAAATCTTTATACTCACATTATTAAGCAGGTCAACGATGATTACTTAGATGTGAAATGGTTGCTAGAGATGATGTAGTCATATGGCTTTAAAACATTTTATAAAGTTATAAATCTGCTGTTTGAAGTACTAGACAGATTGGAGGTGTGGACTCAGGACAAATGTGAGGCCCAGCTATGGCAAAGGAGGGAACACCATCTAGCCTGACAGATGCTCTCACCTGGTGACGTTAAAGCCTAAATATATATTACAGCTGACAGCATAATGCCAGGCAGTTCCTTTATGAGCACAATAAAAACCAGCAAAGTAACTAATCAAATTTGAAACAAATTCAATATTTAAATATTGCACAAAATAATTTATTTTGTCTTTTGATCCAGAAAAAATATAATTATATTTAGAAAACATATATCTTGTCACATCTGCCAAATAAGTGCCCCAAACTGTGCTAGGTACTATAGTGGACACAAAAGAAAACCTGGCCTTCAGGTATGTATGAACCACTTGAAGGGAGGTTCAAGTTCTTCCTGTGTGAACAGCTAGAGAAGGACAGTCTGCCTAACAAGAGAGTCGTCCTTGTGGTGGTGGGAGGAGTTCCAGAGAGAAGAGCAGCAGGAGGGACAGGACCAGGGGGCTCACAAAGGAAGCCGAGGGACCGTGTAGGCCGGTAGGGGTGGAAGAGGACAGACCCCAGTTCTGAATGTCAAGGTGGGGGAACCTTTCAGGGAGGAAGCTGTAGTGGGAAGATCAAGGATGGGGCTGGAGGAGGGACATGAGACATCTGCAGGCAGCAGTGGCAGGGAGCTGATGGCTCACAAGCTGGGACACAAAGGGGTGAGATGGAAAGAGTGATGAGAAAACTGGGATACTGGTATGGTCATTGGTTCCTTCATTTCACAAAAAATGAGTGTCAATTTGGGGCAAGGTTCTGTGTCAGGGGCTGGAGATGCACAGATAAAATCTATTCTTGAGGTGGTACAGCCTGGCCAGGGCCCTGGGAAGACCAGGGCCCTGAAAGGACAAATACTCACATAAGGCAGAGGGGCACAAATGGATTCCCATGTAAACAGTCAGAGGACAATTCTCTGGCCTAGGAATTGAAGCTAGAAGCAGGAAAATGGTGTTAGGGCATTTGGTCTACCTAGGATTTGGACTCTTCAAAGTAATTTAGTAGTAAAAGAAATTAGAGCAAGAGAAAGGTGATCAGAATGGGCAGTAAATCTTAAGCTTTTGTAATTTTTTGTTTTTCAGCAGAAACACAGCAATGGCATGTGACCAAGAAGCACAGGAGAATATGGTTAATCCAATTTTCCAGAGTTGAAAGAGAAAGGGCAGGTAAAAAGGGAAGCCCAAGCAGCAGCATCCTCAGAGTCTGGCTCACAGATAGCCGGTGGGCCTGACTCCTGGAACCTGTCTCTCTGAGCCTCAGGTTCTTTGTAACAGGGGTCCCACGCCCCTCACAGGGAGGCTGTGAACATTATGTGAGTTATGGTGTGCCTTGTGCAGTGCCTGTGGTAACTGCTCAGTGAAAGGTCTTCATTATTGGTGAAATCTGGGCAGAAAGATAAGTGAATGCTCACAGAACTGAGGAAAGTACTTTCTCCTTTCTTATTTTTTCTTTTCTTTCTATAGCTACCTTCCATTTATCTAATTTGATGATTGTGGGAAGAGAAAAGCCAAGCTATAGAACAGGCAGAAAGGTAGCAATGCTGATGGTTCCACCAACAAAAAGAAGTAATGATGCAGGCTTGGGTAAAATTACTTACTCAAGTTTATTCTTTTACCAATGGATCAAGAAAGATTAAGGAGCAGCCGGGCATGGTGGCTCACACCTGTAATGCTAGCACTTTGCGAGGCCGAGGTGGGAGGATCGCTAAAGGTCAGGGGTTTGAAACCAGCCTGAGCAAGAGCGAGACCCCGTCTCTACTAAAAACAGAAAGAAATTAATTGGCCAACTAAAAATATATATATAGAAAAAATTAGCTGAGCATGGTGGCACATGCCTGTAGTCCCAGCTACTCGGGAGGCTAAGGCAGAAGGACTGCTTGAGCCCAGGAGTTTGCGGTTACTGTGAGCTAGGCTGATGCCATGGCACTCTAGCCTGGGCAACAGAGTGAGACTCTGTCTCAAAAGGAAGAAAGAAAGATTAAGGAACAAGCAAGAAGAAAATTAAGGGATAAAGTAGGAAATAAGAAAGCCAATGGGGCATGAAGAAGAATATTTGGAAATAAGTTCTGCAAGTAGGCACTCATTAGAGGGAAAAGTCAGAGAAGGTCTGACTAGGTGTGGTCAGTGGGATAAGGTAAAATTAAACCCCAATTTGAGGGAATAAATTGAAAAGCTAAGGATATGTTAATCTATAGGTTTTGAAAGAATAGTTAAAATCAACATTATATAGTAAATGTATATAATGTATGTATGTATGTATACCTTTCTACAGTCTTCTTTCCCCAAAGAAAAAATAATGAACAAAATAAAAAGACAAAATATATTTTAACATATAATGGGAAATAGCTACAAATGGATGTGAGTGGCATTTTAAAAGTCAGTAGGATGATTAAAAAGACAATAAAAAGTCACAGGTCCAAGAAGCAAAGTTTATCCAAATGTCCACTTGTGGCAATACAAAGGCAGTAAATCCCCTGATAATGCATATGACAGACCATAAGGCTGGGCAGAAATAAGGTCCTAACAGCAAGCTGGCAGCATGGCATGCTACTGTAATCATGCATTTGTGTGCAGAGCAATCTTCTATGTCTTTATGCTATTTGTCTCCTTTTAGGAACAGGACCCAAAAGAATAGGGCTGGATCTTCAGTGAAAATGTGATATAAAAATCTAACATATCATTACTGTGAAATACATTTATATAGTTAAAAAAATTAGGGCTAAAACAGACCTTGCTGGTTCATAATTAAGGAAGCCTGGCCCTTTCAGAGGCAGAAAAGATAAAAGCTTCTCTTAAATCCCACAAACAACTGATACTAGGACTCAGGAAATGCTATAGAGGGGTGGAAGAAGCTGGTTTCAGAATCCAACAGCTGTGACTCTCCCACAGTGACTATTACCTGTTTGGTTTTCTTTGCTGGTACAGGAACTGGAACTGTTTCCTGCTGCATAACTTCTGTGTCTTCTCCTCCACCTTCTGATGCTTCTAGGACATATAAAGTTTGAAAATTAGAAAAGTCTCTCTCTCTTTCTCCCATTGCTAATGCAACTGTGGCATCACCTTTTTAGAAGGTTCTATCTCTTAACTTTGTAATTCTACCTCTAAGAAGCTGAATGAAAGGAAATGATCCACAATGAAGACAGATTTAAGCACCAAGAGACCTGTCTTATTTATAAAACTGAAAAAGTGAAGATTACCTAGATGTCTAAAATTAGGGAATGTTTAATTATGGAACATTCCTACAGCAAGACTTTTTACAGCCTTTAAAAAATTAAGAGTTTACAGTGACAAAAAACCATCTGATAATGATAATTAGTGGTCAGAACTACCATTGCATTTACTACATGTTTAACACTGGGCTTCATATATATCATCTTATTTAATTTTTACAATATAACCACAGATTTAATAGATATAAAACTCTCCATTTTCAGATAAGGAAACTGCTGTTTAAAGAGGTGAAGCTATACAAAGAGATATACTCAAAAGCACTAAGATAAAGTAGGATTCTAAAAAATGTTCAAGTAACCCAAAAGAAGGAAGAAAAAATAAGACAGATATGAAAAACAAGAACAAACCAAAAAATGGCAGATTTAACCCCCAACATATCAGTTAATACATTAAATGTAAATGGTATAAACATACAAATTTAAAGACAGAGATTAACAGAATAGATTAAAATATGACCTAATTATATGCTGTATATAAGAAACTTACTTCAAATATAATTATATAAGCCAACTGAAAGCAAAGAGATGCAAATATTGGTCAAAGGAAAGCAGGAGTGGTGTTATTAATATCAGAGAAAGTAGACTTCAGAGCAAAGAAAATTATCAGAGAACAAGAGGGACATTATATAATGGCAACAGGGTGAATCTATTAAGAAGACATAGCAATCCTAAATGTGTATGCACCAAGTAATAGAGCTATAAAATATGGGCTGCAAAAACTGACTGAAATGAAAGGAGAAATAGATAAAACAATCAAGTTACAAACTTTAAGTCCTCTCTCAAAAATTGAGAAAATGACTAGACAGAAAATCAGTGAAGATATAAAAGAATTTAGTCACACCATCAAGCAAATAGGATCTTATCAACATTTGTAGAACACTGCAATCAACAACAGCAGAATACATATTTTTTCCAAATGTCACGGTACATATACCAAGATAGATCATATTCTAGGCCGTAAAGCATCAACAAATTTAAAAGGAATTGAAATTGATAAATAGTAGGTACAAAAACTTACAGCAAACATTATAGTCAATAGTGAAAGACTGAATGCCTTCCCCCTGATTGAGAACAAGGCAGAGATGTCAACTCTCACTAGCCTTACTGAATATAGTGCTAGAACTTTTAACCACTGCAATATGGCAAGAAAAGGAAATAAAAGATATATCCATTAGGAAGGAAAAAATTTAACTGCGTCCACTTGCAGATGACATAATTGTTTACATAAATCCCGAGGACTCTGAAGGCTACCTTTAGTCCTGTGAAAATTCTTATGTTGGCTTCTATCAGTGGGGCCTCTTTTCACTTAATATTCTCAAACCCATGTTCATCTGGGATCCTTCATGAAAACCTTGGCTAACTACACACCTCTCCTTCTTCCTCTTGCCTCTCTCTGCATGTCTTTCTATACTATAGGTTCTTGTACCTTGTAAATTAGCACATAATTTTACCTTGCCTCATATGTGCTGGTATTGCATAAATGTTAGGTTTTCTCTCCATCTGAACCAGAAACTCCTTGAGAGTATCCATGAATGCCCAAAGTACTTGGTCTAGTGTTGATTGGCGGTAAATGGCATGCCCATACTTACTGCTTTATTTACATTTTCATTATAAAGTAATATATGTTCTCTATGTAAGATATTAACTCCCTTATACAAATTTCCTCATATCATTTTATTAGCTTTAAAAAATCACATTAAAATAAAAAGAAGGACCTACAAATAAATAAATGCCAAGATTAATCCCATTAATATTTAAAAATCAAGTAATCTTAGAAAAAAATTCTTTTTTTTGAGATATAGTCTTGTTCTGTCGCTGAGGCTAAAGTGCCATGGTGTCAGCCTACCTCACAGAAACCTCAAACTCCTGGGCTCAAGTGATCCTCCTGCCTCAGCCTCTTGAGTAGCTGGGACTATAGGCACATGCCACCATGCCCACCTAATTTTTTTCTATTTTTAGTAGAGATGAGGTCTTGTTCTTGCTCAGGCTGGTCTCAAACTCCTGAGCTCAAGTGATCCTCCTGCCTTGGCCTTCCAGAGAGAAAAAATTCTAAACTCTGTATTCCTCCATTCCCTAAAATTTGCTAACTGAAGAACACAGTCTGTATTTAAGCAGTCTAGTTGAAAATAAAAACATTCATCCTTCGATATGCATGGGGAATTTGTTCCAGGACCTCCTTCACATGCCAAAATCCAGAGATGCTCAAGTCTCTGATATAAAATGACATAGTATTGGTATATAACCTATGCATATCCTCCTGTATATTTTAAATCATCTCTAGATTACTTATAATACCTAACACAATGTAAATGCTATATAAATAGTTGTTATACTATATTGTTTATGGAAAAATGTCAAGAGAAAAAAGTCTGAAATACTCAGTACTTTAAAAAGTATTTTCAATCCCCAGTTGGTTGAATCAACAGATGTGGAACCCATGGATACAGAAGGCCAACTGTAACATATTTTTTAAAGGTATGTGACTCTTACGCACCAAAAACCCATGAGAAATATTTAAAATACCTTCTTAATCAAATGCTCTAAATCTGAGTTATTTCTTGTTCCAAAAAATTATTTCATCTGAAACCTTTTAACATGTAAAATGAGATCATCTCATATCACTGGAGGTTGAATAAATTAGTTGTTTTCTTACACTATGATGTTTTTTGGTCCCAAAGTGAAAACTGCTTTTCTGAAGTAAGGATGTTAGTTCTGTGATTTTCATTAACAGAATATTGAAAGAGAAGCATGGGGCTCCAACTTAGCCAGCCTGGCTCCAGTACCCAGGTTTCTCTAGGGCTGCTGGGATCTGAGGAGGTTAAGCTGGGCTTGTGCCACTTAGTCCCAGTGGCCAATTCAGCCCATGAAGTGGAGTCACCAAGACAGCACTGCCTCTTCCCTAACTCCCCGAAGACTACTTAAAAACAGACACTTCCAGATGGGATTGGTTACATTCTTCCAAAAGGGGAGTCAAGTACACTTCCTTTTTCAACTCATGGCAACAACGTCAAGTGAAAACAGAAGGCTGCACATCCTCCCTCTCTCAATCCCCACCTTCCTCCTCTTTATGAGAAGTATCTGAAGTCCAATTTCCCAGCATTTTCCTTAAACTTCCAGGTACTTGCCTACAAAAATCCCTTCTAGGCCCTGGGAGAGACCCTGGCAAAGGGATTATAAAATTGTTCTTTACAAAATTGCAAAAGAAAGATTTAACCACAGCATATTAAGACTACTGTCTGTTTCCACTCTGAATTCTCCTCTGTCACATTCTGGGAGAATTTGGGGGGCCTAGTTAGAGTAAGCGGGTTGTACATACATTTAGTTTGAGCTTAATGGGATATTTATGTAGTTTGCAATCACATCTGTCTATATTTAGATTTTTGCTAGCTGTTCTAAAGCTGGAATGCTGCCAAGAATACTACCACCTACCACCCTGTGCTAATTCACCAGACATTCTGACACAAGGTGGGTAGGGCTAGAGGGTATAAATGATGACATGAATATGCCTGTAGTGCCTGTCCCTCTAATGACATGGGAAGTGAGGGAGAAACCAAGTTTGGAATGTATGAAACCTTAAACTAGTCATAGAAAATTCTTCCAATCATCAAAGATATAAAACTATGAGCAGAGAATTAGGTTCTCATTTTGGTCTATTGAAAATGCAAGGTCTCTGCTGTAGGAATATATACAGTAGATGATATATTGTTATATAATTGCAAAGAAACTGTATTTTTTCTTTTTTGTTGATGAAGGTGAGTAAAATAAAAATTTTCAGAATTCCTGTGTTTATAGCTGTTATTATTTGTTATTTTTTTTCTTATTTAAAAGATTAATAGCTTCTTTCATACCTATTTTATACCAGTAATTTTGCATTCTTTTTCTAAGAGAGGGCCCACCAAATTATGTAAGTTTCAGGCCTCAAAAAAAACCTAGATTTGCTTTGGCTAACAACTTTGCTCCTCTCTTATTAGTTTTCATAGTTGAGAAACAAACTACTGAAACACATAACAATAGGGAAGAATTTCAAAAGCATGATGCTAAGCAAAAGAGGATAGACTCAAGAGGCTACATTAACATATGATTTCATCTATTTAATATTATGGAAAGGGCAAAACTATAGATCAGTAGTTACCAGGGACTGGAGGTGGAGGACTTCTTGAGATTGATGGAAATGTTCTATTTTAATTGTGATGGTGGCTACACAATTTTGTGCATTAATAATAATTCACAGAGCTGTTCAGTAAAAAAGTTAAGTTTACTATTGGAATTATTCCTCAAGAAACCTGACTTAAGCCAATGTTCATTAATTTGTAATACTTGTCTAATATCACACAACTAATAATTGGCACAGCTAAGATTTGAACACCAGATATTCTAATCCCAGAGTTCATAATCTTATCCCCTATGCTTTCCTTGCATCAAAAGATGCTGCTTACAGCTTAATGAAGTTTTCTTCTATTCCTTTATTCTTTTGCTAAGAGGTGTCTGTTGCTTTTATTTTTAAATTATGACTAAGTGTTAAATGTAATGCAATGCTTTTTGTTTTTGCATTTATTGACATGATTATATGGATTTTCTCTTAGAATCTGTTAATGTGGTGAACTGTAAAAATAGATTTTCTAATGTTAAACCATTCTTGTTATTCCTAGGATAAACCCAAACTGGTCATGATATATTTCTCTCTTGTAGATTTTTTTGATCAATGTTCAGAAGTCAGATTCATATAATATTCCTTTCTAGTACTATCCTTGTCTG